ATTAATAAAATATTCATTTTATAACATAAGTGACGACCTCATGAATTTTATAAAGACTTGTTTAAAGATTTTAAAGAATGTGTTATTAAAGTCATCACCCTCAATAACAATCAAAAGATTTTATCTATTGCTCATTGCTTATTAAAAAATTATTAACAAAAAAATTAATAATATGAAATTGTATTTAATTTTATAATTTAAATTTTACTTAATTTAAATATTACATTATTCGCATATTTGTACAGAGAATTTTGATCTTTTCTCCTTCCCCACAGAGGGGACACTACACCCGAAAGATATAATCTAACACAAACTCAATTTCAGTTCCAAATCAGAAATCGTGACAGTCAATTTAAGTGTGGCCAATAATATCAACGTGGTTAATCGGGACTAAAATTGAGTTTGGATTAAGTTATATCTTAGGTTATATCTTATTGCAACCTGATAAAACCTCTCATAGGAAGGAGCGAAATTTTATTCCTTAAAGTTATACAATCTAAAAAAAAGGTTTATCTCCCCTGTTGCGATAATGGGTGAAACGGAAACTACAATATTGCTCTTATGGTCTCATAGATATATTTAAATAAAAAATTTTTTAAAGGAAAAATTATATTAACATTTTTGCATATTACAATATAATTCCCATTTTTAGTGCTTATTTATTTAAGATGATAACACGGATATTCTCCTTGCACATTATAAATCATAATACAATATGTTAATTATTTTTTTATATAAAGTCGAAATTCCATACAAAAATGTGTACAAACTGTATCACTATCTAAAATATTTGAGCTGGAACATATTTATATTGATTGTTAATAACTTTTAATAAACAACGAACAATGGCTGAACATCTTTTTAATTGTTATTTAGATCATATTGATTGCATATTTCAAGATCATTGAAATTAGTGAAGTTTGAACAGTTATGTAATTCATCAGATCATTGTTATATAATTTTATCTTTATTTTCTTTACATACATTTTTTATAATCAATTGCCTATAAAAACTTTAATTTTAAGTAAACGTTATTTTAAAATATATGTATGAGATATTTTCAAAATATGTGTACATTATTGTGAATATTGTTTCACAAATGTAAGATATATAGCTATGGAAGCTACAGAAATATTTCTATATCAACAAATTTCATTATTATGATTAATTGGTTTTTAATTACGTTTTTATTGATTATATTGTACTACATTTTTACATACAAAGTTACCGGCTGTAGCGTCATTCAACGATTATCTAGAATACATAAAAGGTTTCCCTTTAAACGATAATCCGTCACTGTTTGGCATGCATTCAAACGCCGATATAAGCTATGCACAAGCAGAAGCATATGCTTGCCTCACAACTTTATTAAACATGCAGCCTAGGGAACTTGGCGTTACAGTCACAAGTGTCGAGGAGGTGACAACTCAAATAGCAAAGAATATGTTGGCCATGATGCCTGAATCCTTTGATTTAATCACAATGCAAACAAGGTACCAATAAATGTTTCCTTTTGTGTATAAATGCAAACATATATTTTTCTTTTTAAGAGTTTTTTCTAATATATTTTAATTATAACTACTTTGTAATTTATAATAAAAAGCTACATCTTGCGATTATATTGCATATCACAAATTTTACAAAAAATTTCCTTGTATGTATTTTTTAAAATATAATACATTTACATAACACATTTTATAACACAACAGTTTAATTTATTAAAATTACATTTTATGTATTATACAATATCTAAAAATATATACGTTTATCATATTTCAAATTTTCGGAACAAATACTTTTTACGAAAAAGTTAAATAAAACCTTTGTTGAATTAGTAAATAAAATAAATTGAATTTCAGGTACCCTATGTCGTATGAGGAATCCTTTAATACTGTGTTAGTAGAAGAAGCCAAGCGATATAACGATTTACTCGAAATCGTGAAATCAACGTTACAAGATCTTTTAAAAGCTTTAAGAGGCTTGGTCGTCATATCAAAACAGCTCGAAATGATGGCTACCAGTCTTTTTAATAATAAAATACCTGAAAATTGGCAAAACAAAAGTTATCCTTCTTTAAAACTTTAGGTAAGAAAATCTCAATCACAAGTTTGTATGTAATACATATAATATAATAATATAATCTTTATTTTATTCTCAAAGCCAGTTTCCAACTAACAAACTGATGTTATTTATCGTCATCTTAACATTAAAAACGTCATTTTTACGTCAAAGTGTATTTCGTCAGTTTATTTACTGTGTTATTATAATAAATATTTTTTAATTATTTTGATTATAAGCCGGATCGTTCGTCGATTTAGAGGAAAGAATTAAGTTTATAAGCAATTGGCAAGACCAAGGTATACCGTCTGCGTTCTGGCTAGTATAGGATTTTATTTTCCTCAAGCCTTTCTAACTAGCACGTTACAAAATTTTGCGCGTAAACACATGCCATCCATTGACACAATCGATTTTAGCTACAAGGTATGCTTTCAGCCTTTAATTAAATTGTTGATAGGTTAACATGATTGATGTACTAACTATAGAAAGATAGATGAAAATTGATAGACACTTTTAGTTATTTGAGAGATTTGTTGACACAAGTATCAGCTATTAATATTGAATAAAACTTGATATATGGATCCTAATTTAAAATAATTACAAATAAATATCCTACGTCTAAATGAATGTTATTGATCAACGAATTTATATGTAGATATAAAATCAGTATTAATCTTTATTTAAGGGGTAAAGCCGCTCTAGAGCACGAAAAATAAGCTAAACTTTATGAATTTTTTTGAGAATGTAATAAAAGAAATAAAAAAAATGTATTTTAGGTCTTTTTGTTGTACCTACATCCATTAAAATGAAAAAAATTTTTTTATAGTGATTTTGTTAGAAAATGGCGGCGCTACAGCTTTGCAATGGTAACATCTTCTCATGGACAATGCTCTGCGGCCGGAACGATAACTCCGGCAATTTTTAACCTAGAACAAAAAACCAAAACTTTTTTAAATCTACATTCCAAAAGACAGAGAAAAACGTACGGAAATTGCAATATATCATTTTTTGAAAAAATAGTACGAATTTGAAGTATATAAATGTTAATTTAAAAGGTAAAAAATAGGTGAAAAATTAATTTTATATAAAAAAAAGTATGCAATATAAAAAATTTGTACATTTTTCTTTAGAGAATACACTTATGAAGCTACAGTTAAAATTTCAAGTAAATCGGTTAAGATTTGTAGGAGTTACGTTTCAATTCCGGCCAGCTTGAAAAAAATAATTTCGAGAAAAATGCATTTAAAGTTTTATGTAACAATCAACGATAGAAATGTTCATCTTTAATCTGCGATGCCTGCATCATATAATAGGCCTTCCTCGTTGATGTTCTTTTTTTCCTGATCCTCTTTGACCGATTTTAGAGATGATCGAGTAACTAATTTCTTTATTATTTTCAGAAGAACCCTTTGCAAAAGCTACAAATTTTATTAAAAACGATGCTTTAAAATTCCAAAAATGACACTTAGGAATTTTTCTTTGTTATAAGATCTTTTGTACCTTACTTCTAAGATCTTAAAGCATCATTTAAACAAAAGGAAAACATTTTTTGAAAATTCTAGAGTGGCTTTACTCCTTAAGTATTATTAAGTAAGTGTATATTTTACAAAAATTTAAAACTATATTTATATATGTCTATATCTAATTTTGATAAAATGGATAAAAAGAATTTGAAACTATGTCTATAATAACTATATCTAATCTTGACAAAATAAATAAAAAAATATTCCAAGAAAAGTCACGAGCAATATTATATGCCACAGATTTTATCTTCCAAACCAACGCAGAGACCACCGAATGGCTATGTTATTTACGGACTCTTTTTAGAAAGTTGCCGGTGGGACGGAAACTATCTCGTCGAGTCTTTACCAAAAGAATTATTCACCGGTTAAGTATTAATAATGTTTCTATATATTACACTAAAATTTATTTTATTAAAATTATTATAAATTTAATTATTTGAAATATTAAAAGCTATATCATTAAATTACTGAAATAAATCTGTTTATAAATATTCGTGCTTTATTGAACAAAAATCATAAATTATTTAATTGTTCTGAATTCCATTTACACAATGGTATATATAATGGTATCGTTCACTTGCTATCCAGACATGCCGCCAATTCTATTGTTACCAGAAGTTCATCACGTAATTCCATCTCACAAAATTTACTTGTGCCCTGTATACAAAACTACCGAGCGATCTGGAACTTTAAGCACAACAGGATATTTCACGAACTTTGTTCTAGCAATAGAAATTCCAATTAACAAACCGCAATCACATTGGATAAAAAGAAGGGTGGCATTAATATGTACTTTGGACTATTAACATTTCTCTGTTGCTATACATGCTACAGCATTTATGATTAATGATTGACAATAATTGTTAAAGTATTCGTATTCTTATGTACATGCATTGTTAATATTATATGTTATTAATGATTATAGTAATAATTCACCAAATAAATTTTTTATTGTGTGTGTAAAGTATTTTTCACTGATATAAAACTCACAGAATTTTTCAAGAATATAATTATAATTTTATTTAGATGTGTGTATATTATATATACAAAATATTTACATTCGTCATGGAATAATTATAAATTTATCGTATATATTATTATATATAATATTATTAAAGATTAATTATTGTAAATAATAATTAATCATTAATAATTATATTATCATAAAGATGTACATAATTAAATGTACTAATTAATCAATTTGCTTTGTTAAAGTCTCGCTTATAAAATAAATTATATATAAAGTATACAAAAATATAAATACTTAATTGCATAAACAAGAAGATACTTTCGTCACTTGATATATTTTATTAAACTCTAGAAACAATTTCAAACAGATAACAATATCACAAGTAGAAATTTTATTTATGAAGCAAAAACTGCTTGTTGAACTTAAAATAGTTTAATCAATATTTGCATTCACTTGTCATTCTCGTATAATTTGGGATCTTTGCGACTATATCGATCATGTGCTGCAGTCGCCCACGTAACTACCCCAACTGACATTAAAAAACCTAAAATGAAAAATATTAATAATACAATGAAGAGGAAGGAAACGTTAAATGAAATAGAACTTTAAGAAAAGAGAGAGAGTGTGTTGCGTTATATATAAACTGTCGGACAATAAAAGATTCATAAAAATAAAATTTTAGAGATATATGGATCTTTAACAAATAATTCTCGCATATAATGAAATTGAAAATCTTCCTTTTTATGAGTCAAGAAATTATTAACATAAAGTAACCAAATTTTACGAATACTATTGGATTTTTTCAATAAAACGTATATGTATATTTACATGTACATTTAAATTATACATTATATTACAAGAATTTGTACATAATTTAGGACTATTTTATATGTATTATATAAAACACTTAATACAAAAAATTCGAACTTTTAAAAAAATTTAGAAACTATTTTTATCATATAATTCCTTCTTACTCAAAAGTCGCTTATAAAAAATAATAATTTTAACATTTTTTTATTTTATTCAACAGAATTAGCACGAGAAATGTATTTTTTTATATAACTTTTATATCTTTAACTTCTCGAATTATAACAACTCATAATTTTCTATATAAAAATAAAAAGTTTTAAGAATTATATAATGAATTATCGAAGCTACAAAATTGTTACTACTTTAACTTATGCATTATTACTACGAATGTTATTAAATTCTATGTGAAATTTGGTTCTCGTTTATTTACAGAGATTGAATACGGCCGTATATTTACAAAACTGATCAATCATTTATATATAACAAAATTTTTTATAATATAATAAAATACATGTATAAAAAGACAGAAATTGATTGGTCTATGAAAATGGGTTATAACATTATTGAACAACGTTTTGCGTCATTAAATAAATATACATATATTTAATAACATCGTATTACTATTTGTAGAGATCCATAGGTCAGTATTTTATTTTAATTAAAAGATGAAAAAGTAGTATAAAATAATTTTGCTACCAGAATAGAATGTGTTATGGATTTATAACATTATGAATTTATAAAAAATAAGAATATGTACACCAATATAAAATCAACAATTTTATCTAAAATCTTTTAGTAACCGATCTTTTTTTTTTTTTAATAAAATTAGAACATTGTTACTTTAAATATATAATATGAAATCTATATCCGTATAAAATGCATATGTGCAAAATAATATATTCTTTATATGTATATTTATCAGGGAATGGAAAGTTACTTTTTAAAAGTAACTAGTTACAGTTACTCGTTACCGAGTAAAAAATGTAACTAGTTACAGTTACAGTTATCGCTTTTTAAAAGTAACTCGTTACAGTTACCGTTACTTGAAAAATAACTTTTCGTTACTTTTCCGTTACTTTTTTAAAATC